TATTATATTAAATGAAGAATTACTTCTCAAATTTTGCACGTAACACAGTTATGATACATTATATATTAAGTTATATTTTATGCATGCTCTATATATATAATACAGAATGTTTGTTTAATAAAAATTCGAATGTGACAGACACGTGTGTAACAAAACCATAGAACCATAGAATGGCATAGAACTATACATTATAAAATAGCAATAAAATAACATCATTGAGCAAACGAACAAATAAATAATATACCTTCTTATCCGCGACAAATAATAGCAACAGCTATTTAATTTGAACGGGTAATGTGTATGTAATACTTCATTTATTTTATATGCTTTTGGATAGTTTTTGAAATAAAATAATTGATGTACGTGGGACGCTCAGAAAGTTTTGCGACACTAAAAAAATGTTCTATAGGTAAATATATTTTTATTACATCTTTCCAAAGTATTCTCCACCAGCCTTTTTCCAGTCCGAAGCAGACACCTCGTTTACAGCCTGTTCGAACGCTGAGAGCGCATCATCCGGCGACGAAAATTGTATCTCTTTGAGCTGACTTTTTATTATTGGGAATAAGAAGAAGTCACACAGTGCTAGGTCAGGGCTGTAAGGGGGGTAACCCAGGAGTTTGACCTGTGTGTTGTCTAGGAAGTTCCTCGTTTTGATTGCGGTGTGGGCGGGCATTATCGTGGTGGAGCAGTAGCCCGCGGAGCCCTGTGTTTGATCGTTTGTTGCTCACAACAGAGAAAATTTCTGCCAAGCATTTGGTAGTATACCATTCGGCGTTAATGCTTCTTTAGTTTCGTAAAGAAATTGACACCAAGTAACCAGTCAAATTGAAAAAGCTCGCGATCAAAATCTTACCCCCGCTTCTAGGTCGCTTTACTTTGGTAGGCGTTGATTCGTTTTGAAACACCCAAACCGTCGACTGGCGCTTTGTTTCTGGATCGTATTGAGAATTCATCACCTGTAACGATATCGTAAACACGCCGAAATGAGCGTGCTTCAAATTTGTCAATCATATCATAGCACCATTCCACCCTTGCCTGCTTCTGAACATCGGTCAGGTTGTGCGGCACCCAGCGTGAAACTATCCTCCGTACCCGTAGATGCACGTATAGAATCTCGTGAAGACTTCTTGATCCAATCTGCAGTATATGCTGAATCTTTTGGTATGTAACTCGTCTATTGTCTTGGATCAAATTCTTCACTGCTAGCACGTTTTCTTCCGTAACAGTCGTTAAAGGGCGACCATTTCTTTTTTCATCCCCTAAAGTTAGTCGACCGCGCTTTAATTCATTATACCAACGATACACGGTTGTCTTAGAAGGGCCTTCATCCATAAATGCTATTTGAAGTCTGTCGTACGATTCGTCCGGTTTCAAGCGACACTTAAAATCGTAAAAAATCATAGCGCGAAAATGTTCTCGACGCAAATTCAATTTTCAATGAGACACGGTAATTTTAATTAGCTCGCAAAAAATGTGAAAGAAAGTTTTGAATTTATAACGTACCTATTTTTACTTATAAATAATCATATTTTTAAATAAATTATAACTGGCCAGTCTCACATACATAAAAACATTAACATATTAATTTTCAGACATAGTGCGACTTTAATTTCGATGACCGTCGGTTCTATACATACGAGTAGACAATAACTTAGTATTCATATAATATTTTTATGATTTACGATCCAGCATTTTGTTTCAAACTACATATTTTATTATTCTATACATAAAAAAAAATTGCAATAGTGTAAAAAGCACTTGTATTATAATATACATATGATAGACACACACATATTTTGAGATTTTTGTAGTATTTGACTTATTATATAGAAATCGTACGTCACTAAATTTGTACACGCTATTCTCGAATACTATATGAGTATAATCGATTTTAATGAAGTTACATGAATATGAATGATTAATCCCGACTTGAAAGATAGTACAATTATAAACTCAATAAGTGTCGCTGTTGTCGATATCTAAAAAATTGTTGCAATTGAAAACTAATTAATTTATATTTTTAAAGCAGCATATTTAGAATAAATGCCGTTGTATCTGTTATGTTGGTATACTTCATTAAATACCTAATATTCAAGAAATTGGTAGCCGTTCACGCTAATAATTCAACAACTGGGACAGTTTTATTTTCCGATTTATAAATGTTTTGGCAACCACTTTTGCTCTCAAATATTACCGACCATCGGAAACCCGCATCGTATACAGATAAGTTTTATTGTGGTTGGCATTGTAGTTTTTATGATTTTAGTAAAAACCCGCCTCAAATTTTCTATACGTCTATTTACTGTATTAACATAACTCTCTATTCACTGTATATTGCGTATTGACATAATCTATTTACTGTATATACATATTTAAGATCACTATCAATTACTACATCAAAAGTTACTTTTACAGTAAATTAATTTTATTTTTAAGTTTAGGCTAACTTACTATTATTTATAAATAAATATAGCAAACAGAATAATATTGGTAACGAAAACAATAAAAGCTGTCTATAAATTAAATCGGATTTAACAAATTATGATGATGGATATAAGTAATTATATGATATAAATAATTATATTAACGTATTTGGCCCACATATATAGAATACAAAGTAAGGAAGAATATTGTAATTAACGGGTTTGATGTAGGAATAAAAGGTAGACGCGGAAGGGGCTTTCCTGTTTGTTATTAGACCGGATATTATGCACATACTACAGTATCTTTGTACTTTAAAACTCGCTAACATACAATGTTTATTTTTAATAAGAAAAATAATTAAGGTGTATTATATTTTTTGTCTACGTTATATTACAACACAATATTTTATTAGCTTGTATAAAAAGTATTTAAATCTAAGTTCAAACTATTTGGTTAACTATTTTCTAATTGAAAGTTTCGATTAGTTTACAAAACCAATTAGTTAGATATACCCTTTTAAGTTGACACCTATTTAGTTATACTATTTTTTACGTATAAATTTAAAAAAAAATGAAATAAAAACATTTTGTACTTTATACTTTATCCTAGAGAATTGATATATAATTTTAATTGTTTTTTTTTTAAAGATAGAAATATAGTTAAATATTATGAGTGAAGACTAATATAAATATTGTTCAAATTGCCTAAAGTAGTCTGTATAAACAAATGTTATATAATATTCCAATATTCGCTTTGTACATAATAAATTACTGGTATAATAAATCTGACAGTGAGATTTATTCAATTAGGAGAAGGTTCTTAATTCGGCTGTATTTTTTCATGTAGGTAATAAACCTACCTCAAAACTTCATCATTTATGAATAGATTTAGAAAATTCTTTTTTTTTTATTAAAGGATATAGGTTATTTTTATAGAAATTTTATCGAAATTGCTATTGTAGTGTTATTTTTTAATTTAAATTATTTGGTTTTGCCACTGTTGGAGTCCGTGTTTTTTGTAGAGCAACATCTTTAACTATTGTTTGACTTAGCCAGTTGTCATGAAATTTTGTATACTCTATATTTATTGGAATGAAGAAGAACATAGAGTTATTTTACCCTTGACAATTAAAATATCAAAGTCACGCGAATGAAGTCCCGGGCACAGCTAGCAAAGAAATATAGGAAACACGCGACTTTGGAAACGCAAAACTCGTTATTCACCATTCCCACGGGTGCTTCCAAAAGCCCTTTCTTATAGGATTACTACGTTACATGATGAGCCCTTGTGCAAAATTTCGAGTACAAACTTTATGGTACCATAGGTTTCGTGGTTAGAGAGACAGAGAAAGAGAGTGGCACTTTCATTTATAATGTAACGGAAAGGACATTTGGATATTAACTTCGTCATTATGCACTTGTTTAGATATTCTAATGATATTATAAATGTAAAAGTTTATACAAATAATTTGTTGCTTGTTACTAAATCATGCCATATAGTTGTACACCTATATATGTATATAGAATGACACTCGTAAATTTACGAGAAATGCTATTATAATACCTCTTCCATCAAATTAAATCCGTCACTACGAGCAGCTAAAATATTTTTGCAATCGTTAGAGCTAGGAAAACTCAAGGGATGAATAAAAAATCAAATAATTGCTGCGAGACGACATAAAAGTGGAAGGAATAAAAATCGTTCGATTTAAGGGAAAAAAATGTTGTAGTGGAATAAGATATAAAATATTAGCGTAATAAGTTGACGCTGTTCATTTACCAAAATCTTACGCATTTTTTCTTTTTAATTATGTTTGTATAAAGAAAAACAAAATGCAGAAAATCCAGTTTGATATACTTGATTATATTGAAGAAAGTGATTTACAAAATAAAAATAAATTAATACGTGAAGGTGAATTAAGACCAATAAAAAATATATTTATCACCATTTATGTTTGGATTAAAATAATAGAGTAAGAACAACGACCAAAATTGTTCGTGAATGCGAAGCAGCAATGAAAGTATGATTATTAGAAGTTCATAGAAAATAAAGCGGTTTGAGTCTAGCTGCTCCGGAATTATTAAGACTTTGCCTTTAAAATGACAAAAGGCGTTCTTGATCTAATGAATTGACTACCTATAGTTCGTTTACTGTTTATTAGAATTATTGAAATATCTTATTTTTTACTATTCTTATCTAGAATTGCAAACATTCTACTACTTATCTGATGGAAAATATCGCCTAGAAATATAATTAGCACTATGCATATAGACATGAACAACAGAATGCACTATAATGCTTATGATACTATATCTCATGTGTTGCCATTGAGCATCATATGTTGTCATGATGGTTCTCAAAAATAGTAACGCATAATACATAAAACCATAGTTTGAATAATGGTTTAAGCTGAAACACAACCATACAAGCATAGTTACTTATATTTTCTACAGTAGAAACACAAGTAGTAGGAAAAAACTGAGGATTCGCTTGGTTTAAAATTTACAAATATACATCGTCAACTTTCTCTACAGTCTATTGACGAATTAAAAACAGATATATAAAATAAATACCTGAGTGGAGTTATGATTGCTCGATGTCGATCCACAGCGATGGCAGTAAGCGTGAATACGCTGACGTTTACGCTCAACGCTTGTACAAATGGGCAAAATGGGCACATGAAGTGTGGTAACAGCCACCGTTGCAGCAGCGCGGCTTGGAACTGTTGGAAATATAATAAATATATTATAAAGTAATAATGACAAATACTTCCTAACATCAAAATTAACATCATAATGCTGCTACCAGAATATAAATTACGTAAACATTTCAATTTTATAATTAAACTACTTTGTTCACGCACGAAATATTATTTCTACTGGATAATATTATAAATGCCACAAGATGGAAAAATCCTCGCACGACAGTAATAATTCGGGATAGATTTGAATATTTTAATTAAATTAGACAGAGAGGCCACATTTTAGATAATTCTACTTTACTATATTACTTTTAGTTTTTAGTTTAGTGTTACTTTTAGTCACAAAAACTACCTCAGTAAAAAAAAAGTTATAAAGAGAGATTTATTAAGAATAATGATAATTAAAACAATTGTATGTTAATATAAATTAATAAAAAAATAAAAACCTACGACACGTCCTAGCACAGATAAAAAAAAGTGACCTAAGATAGTGATTTTAAATAATTCGATTGTTTCGCATAAAGAAAAAGAATTCTTAAATCAAGTAAAGTAATAAAATCAAATTCTTCAAAATTATTTTCTTGAGTCAAGATCTTTTTCTTGTATCGGCATTGGATTTGGTCGTATGTACGCGCGTAAATCGCGTTATCAATTTATTGACATATTCGATGTAAAAATATGTACTACATTTTATATTTATCCGAAACCTCACTATGCAAATGCATAAAAATGTTGTATGGATTGAAATATTCAGTCCCTACAACATGTTTGTGGCATTATGAAATACATGAAAAAAAGTGAAGGGTGTTTCGAGAAATATGTTTTCATACAAAGGCGATCGTAACATGAAAAAGGTTGAAAAACACTGCCCTATCGGGTCCACCTCCACACGGTTCCCTAAATATCAACTTGGTTAATTTTTTATGAATTTGTCCTGTAGGCCAATTGACCAATTTCATTCACATCTATCATCTATATCTACATATATCGCGAGCGGGGTTAAACTATTATTAACAATGAAAAGTATCTCAACAATAAACAGTTTAAGAGCTTTTCTTTAATAAATTGTATCTGCTATTAATGGGTACAAAATTGATGGCAATCAGATCGCTGTGGGTATTTAGAATCCCACTTAATCTGGGTACAGGCGAGTTGGCTCCTAACACCGTTTTTCTCGACGGAGGACATAAAGCAGTTATCTATTGTATCGAGCTAATCTAGAGGCAATTTGAAAGTTAAATAATGGTAGTATTCATTGACGATCTATAATATGCAATAGTACTTCAAAACAAAAAAAAATTACAATAAAATCTCTGTTATTTTCTAATGAATTAATATGCAAATGCCTCAGGTTATCAACATGAGAGGAGTTTTACTTTATTGTTTAGATACAAGAGGTGCCATAAACATCAATTTTGAATACGTTCAATACGGATGACTGTTATGACAAAAATACGGACTCAAGATACTAACTTAAAAGGCACAGTTTAATACTGATCTATAAATGTTATATGGTAATAATTTATTATAATTAATACCATATAATTAATAATTTATAATAATTTATTATAATAAATGATATGAAGTGAGTGGTACGAAACAATTTAACTAATCTAGTTTATATATATATATATATATATATATATATATATATATATATATATATATATATATATATATATATATATATAAATTACGAAGTAGATAAGTAGTTACTGTTACAAGATATTTTATTTGTACTAATACTTAGTAACATAACTGTAGATATAGAATAACTTTAATTTTTTATATAATAATAATAAATTTATTATCTATTATTTTTTACCTTCATCCGTATGACCAAAATACTGTGATTGACCGAGATATAAAGCAGTATATATCCTTCTCCGATCTATATTAAAATTATGTTATTATTATATAAAATCTAGAATTGATTTTCTAATGTAACATCTTGGGTACGCTGCCTCGGTGTGGTGCGTTGGGGGATTACTTATAATTAGTATTAGTATTTAAGGAATTTTATATTAACTTTATTGTTGTATTGTAATTAGATATATGAGTAGGAAAATTTTCACTAAATAATTAAAGATTGTACTAATAATAATATTTTACTCAGTTATATGAGTAAAATATATTGAAATTGAAATAGAGAGTTCATAAGTTAAACATCAATATGTTTTGTTATAGCAATCACGTGGGCGAGAAAAGAAATCTAATATATTAATCCTAACACATCGATTACTCAGTTCTGTAGTAATTGGTGTTGTTAGTTTTGGTAATACACGGCCTAATATTGTTCAAGTTCGGAAAAAACAACAAATGGCAATGCGGTGCCAATAAATTGCGGCGTTCTTTTTTTTCTTTTTATTTATTTTCTTTGAGTGAGACCTACCTATGTAAAGCTGACACGATTGAGTTATTTACCAATATTTCAAAAAGCACTAAAACTAAACACATCTACTGAGTCTTATGCAATTAGATACTTTTTCTCAATTCTATATGACATAATTTAACAACAACATAAATGAGGTTCTTGCCTTCAATGCTCAAACCAAAAGAATTTGCAAATCACTTGACAGTTGCGTTGGTAGTTTGTATAATAGTTAAATCGCTATTCTGTGTTTATATGTAACTACTAGCTGACACGGCAAATGTTGTTCTGCCATATAAATATTTTTTAATGGGTATTATTCATATATATTTATTCGTTTATATATGTAATTTTAGTATGTATGTATATCAATAATTAGTAGTACCGCATTCGAGTATTCTGACACTTCCCTATGGTTTACTGGGAGAGAATGCTTTTAGCATTAAGTCCGCCATGTACACATATTTGTACTAATGAATAAATAAATAAATAAATAAATAAATAAATAAATAAATAAATAAATAAATAAATAAATAAATAAATAAATAAATAAATAAATAAATAAATAAATAAATAAATAAATAAATAAATATCCTAGTCACCTATTGATATGAAATATATTTTACGTCTTATTCTCATAATTACCATCGATACATAAATAATTTCATAAAAATTAGTCGAACTGATTCCAAAGAGTTCGACCACAAACACCATGACACGAGATTTTTAAATTTTGTATACATATTTAGTTATTAACTGTATAGTTAACAATTATGGTTTATTTTGCTCATAATATGCATTATATATATTACGCTCTTATACAAACCCTATAAATAATTGCTCCTTTCGGGTTAATTTCAAGAAATTCCTTCAAGGGATAAGTCTGCTTGTGTAACTTGTCAATTTGTTTTCTTCTATTTATAACCTATTATTTATTTCCATTATGACATTACAAAAAAGCTTACACAAACAAACAAACTATACATTATTCACTTACGTATGGAATAACCTCTTAACTTTCATTTATTGCACTTTTCATTTTTATATTTGAAATCTGGATCGTAAAAGCGCTAGTAGAAGACTTTGATTTCTAAATAGCAAAAATTCAACAATATTATAGTATAAAAGAATTTCAACTATTAATTTTCCTGCTAGGCAGTGATTGTATGCTGTATTCTAATTTCAAGGGTGAGATTATAGAAATGAAATTACAGGGCAGTATAACAAGATGTCGTAAGCAACGCGTTGTAAGCTTTCATGACTGTGTTGGTCGCATAGCATCGTGGAGACAATATTCTTGATTTCTCTAATAACCTCGTTGTATTACCAGAGGGAGATTTTGTACAAAAGTTGATTGCTTGGGTACCTCTGTCCCATTCGTGTTTCAACCGTGAAGCAGTTGTGTTTGCATGGCTGTGTTTCGGTTTGAAGGGTGGGATATGGCGTGAATTTACTGGGTACAGAGGAATAACACCTGAATCCTCAGGAATGGCAACGCATGGGGGGTAACATGGGCGAAACAGTATACTCTGTTATGTCCATGGTACTGCTCATGTCTATAGGCGACGGTTACCACTTTCCATCAGGTGGGCCGTCAGCTTGTTTGCCATTCTAAGTTGTATAAAAAAAAAAATTAAACTTATTATGTTAATTATTATTATTGGACTGAATTAGTTATACTCACTTGGAATGGTACAGCAAATAGACCTATAACTATGTCTGCTAAAGCTAAGTTGGCTATGTAACAGTTGGTGACGCTCTGCATTCGCCTTGATGTGGCCACAACCCACATCACCAGAAAGTTGCCCACTACAGCTAATACTGATATTGATCCATATAAGAATGACAATAGTACAATCATTCCCGTAGGCACATCGTATAGAGTATCTGTAACAATGCAGAAATTAAGTAATTTAAGATAATGTTCCACATAAAACCGATTTCAAGTGTGACTAAACCAAACAAGTGTGTTATTTTGATTTAAAAACTAAAGAACTTCTATGGGGGCTAAGATTATCGTTTTAGATAAAAAAGAAATTTTCAAATCGGTTTATAACCAACGGAATTATAAGGTCACATAAAAAATACAAACAAATTGAGAACTTCTTCTTTTTGTAGTCGGTTGAAAAGGATAACAGTTTTTATACAATTCGCAATGTTAAATAAATTTAACAGTCTACCTGATAAAAAGTGATCTTCATTGCCTTTAAATGCAAACAGCATTCATCACTTCACAGAATATAATGTGATAACTATACTACATATATACTTATGTTTTGTTATTCCTAATAATTAAAATATCATAACCCCGTACCAAAGCTCCATACCATGTAATTTCATAAGTTAAAAGTATACTCGTATATATTAACAATATAGAAGCTATCCTCAGGATATAAAGTTTTTGCATGGACTCGTTAATGGAAAAATGAAATATACTAACTTGTTAAAAATGACAAATAGAAGGTCTCGTATTCCTATATTCATATATTTTATTCCGTTTCTCGAAATAAGATTGATATTTTTTGTCTTCCAACTACCAAGACCAATCTTGGTTGCCTATCTCCATTACTTAGATATTTTATGCAGTATAATGCCTTGCATAGGAGTACTGATATTGATATTTTCCATATTTCAATAGATGTCATGATGAGGTAACTCACAAAGGCAGATCATTGTAGTTTTAATAAATAGATAAGTACGTAGCTACGTTGTAGTTAATGACAATAGGCATAAGCTTGTTGTCATTATCTAACAAATAAAAATGTACGTGTGATTTGGCAGGAGTCACGAAAAACTGATTATTCTTGCTGGATTATACTCTTTTCTCTTCTTCTTTTTTTATTTCACTTTATTTTTTTTTATGTAATGATTTATTGGATGTCTGCGTTTGTCTTGATTATTGTTAGTAGCTAAAGTACTTCAATTCAATTCTGAATGTTGTGCTCGCCTTTTATAGTAACAGATTTAATTTTGTATACATTTTTTTAATGTCTTATAATTATACTGTTAGTGTACCTTAATAAATAAATATATAAAATTTTTATATTATATTATTCATTCCTAAGAGTCGATCATACAACCACGCTATACTTTTTGCTATAAAATCTAGTACTAGACTATAACATCGGATGAAAACGTGATTTAATCTAGATGTAAAGAAATAAGATGACATCAAAAGATGCGAACGTGAGAAACCCTAGAAGCTATTCATAATAAAATACCTATTTACAACATGGGCTTCCGGTTTTTGATCAAAAGGAAGCCTAAAAACGCTAGTAGATAACGTCTTTATGAAAATTTAGCTGTCGGAATGGTGAGAGATCCTTTAACAAGATAAGCACCGTGACATAGCAAAAAAATGGGGCAGATTAACATATTTTTGCATAAAATTTATTTTAACCACACTACATTAGAATTGAATTTATTCTGAATAATATGAGCTTTACGACTTTTATATTGTATGATTTGTGATTTTTAAGAGACGAGAATTAACGTGATCGTTTAGGTAAAATATAATCATTTACTTGAGGTTATCTTCATACTTTGACTTAGTAATTACTGTCACTTAAAACTATAAATTATTATAATAAAAGGTCCTTGTTAATTTTATTAATTATAAATTGTCATAGAATTATTAATAAAATATATAAATCAAATTTGAAGTCGATTCTCATTCCGACGCTATTTATTCTGTGTATGTTACAACATATCTTTGTCAACTAAAAACAAATTTTATTCGTTCTTTAACAATGAATAGGAGTCACTCTATGTTGGCTTCTTATTAGTTTAATTATAATTGAAATAACTTGTGACGGTTCGCCTATAGTACAATAGGTTTAATACCATAAGTACATAAAAGTAACAGGGGTTCCTATGGGTGACCGCTGCGAAAGCTGAGCTATTTAATATAAACAAACTTTAAAGTCAAGGTTCACAATAGTGTACAGAGAAGACGTTACCATATATGAAATATTGACACAGAAGGGAAACTCCTTTGATGTGTTTCCAAAGTGTAGTGGATGTCACAAGAAAATTAAATAAATTAAACAAAGGTATATTATATTTTATATATAACCAAATTATAGTTTACCTTTTTATCATCAGGTGTAAAAAAGATACATACAACACAGTTTAATAAGGTTTATGAGAGCCTTTAAAGTTTTATAAATTCGATAATCAATTTAATATAAGATACCAAAATACGTTAGCGTATAATTAAATTGAATTTAAAGAGAGGTTCAGTTCGAATGATAGGCTAAATCTGATTATTGAAATGTCTGCCCTTCGGTGACATAATCTATGACGTTATTAGAGAAAGAATAGAAAAAAAAAAAGAAAAGGAGGGACGGCGGATCGGCGGGGGCGCGGGAGTCGCTTTTTAGGAATTGCGCAATAAAAAAAAAAAAAAAAAAAAAAAAGAAAAAAATGGCGCGGGAGTCGTGTTTTAAGGAACTGCGCAATAAAATAAAAAAAATAACTAGGATATAGATCTAGGAGGGACTGGTTCGATGAAGGGGTTTGAGATCTTAGTGTATCACTATGGATTAAGTGTGTGAAATTAATCAATAGAAGACTGGAGAATCCGGTGAGCTTGTTCCATTTATTACTACGTAGTTAGATTTTTGACTGTGATCACAGGCAAAGTCTATACTTAATATTTTTCCCAACAACTATTAAAATACGTATTTAGTCGAGTCCATATACCTTTAGGTAATGCGTATATCGTTAAATGCAATCACATTTGAACAAAGTTTACATCAATATAATTTACGTACTTACGTTATTCTACTCATATACAAAATCCAATTATATGGTCGTTTGATAGAACTTCATCAATTTGATTCAATGTTCTAATTGTCCAGTTTTGGAAAATACTTATTAAATCAGCTATTAAACTATTATAATACTAACTAGATTCATATCTAGTTACTATAAATTATTTATTTATTGAGGATAAATAGACTGAGGTGGCTGTGGTCTGGTCTCATTGCTGGGGAAACAACCATTGATGAGACAGAGATGTTATTGAGTGGCGACTCTGTGTGTGCAAGTGCGGTGTGGGCTACCTCCATTGGTTGGAGTGACTGTTTTATGTGTATTGTGGGGCCGTTCCTTGTGTCAGTCGGTGGAAATTGCCTGTGTTCAGTCGTGGATTGGTGATGGTTGAGACGATGATGATGATGAAATATTTGTATTTATTACACTATTACAGTGTTGGGTTGGAATATCTGTTCATACTTAACGCTTCATGGTGAAATGTTTTTATACCATTACTCGGTCGACCAGATTAATGATTCTTAGTCTATATTTGATTATCCATGACTACATGTGGGGATTTGTTTTACACCAGATGTACAAAGAGACAGCTTAACTGTTGCAAGTGATATTATGTGAATGTAATACTTTTAATACATTATTAATTGTGTTACTAGATAAATTCATGTGACTGTGGGGTGTTTATGGTAAACAAGCCTGTATTGTTTAAATAGATATTTTTTCTTGATTTATTATAAACTTTAATATTGATTTTGTTGTAGTAAGCAAGCTGATTATAACAATTCTGTGTGTGTTACTGATTACTAATAATATTTAATTATGCTGATATTATAGGTGTGGATTTATTTCCTAATGGTAATAAAATTAATAAAAGATTCTCTGACTATAGTTACTCTTAACTAGGTATGAGGTTCAGTATAAAATTGGTACTGTATGACACTTGTGAAGCTATGTATTTTACTCATATTTAGAAAGGAAGTTGTCCTGGCGATAAGGTTTGTATGTGTGTTGTTTGTTCATGTTATATTGACTAGACAAGTTCAGACAGGGTTAATATTAGTGAATATTTACTGGATTTATATTTAATATACATGTTTTGAATATTTTATGGGAATAGTATGGAGATATACAAGTAGTAAAATATAATATTAGTATTTTATAAATTTAATTATTGAGTTATATGTTTATGTCGGACTGTATCCAAGGAGATATTATCCTATTAATATCAAGTTAGGACAATTACTTTAAATATTAATAAAGCAAACACTAACACTGATTATTCACTTCTTTAATAAATTTACATTAGAGGTTAGGAATCAAATAGATAGCATATTGGGAAAATCTTCACCACACATGTATTTGAGGAATGTTCTTGATAATTAGTACTGTATGTATATATTATTGCAAGTACAATTGCAATAAGAATGTTAAACTTCTAATCTTCTGTTCATTCTTGAATGTGAGAGTAAGCTTGGCTACTGATATCAATATAAAACTGCAGCATTACTGGATACTATTAATTATTTCTGGTGTAAACCATGATTATTTATATCACTGATAATTTAGTTATATATTACGGTTGATATATGATGATTTTATATTTAATTATATTAAACAAATACAAATAAACAAACTTGCTAGTATTTGTTACGTTGACAGTTGTGATAGATAATCAAAATTCAATTCAATACATCAATACGTCATTCAATACGTCATTAATGTGACAGATGTCAAACAAAAGGAGATTATACACGTTATGATTCTATATCTAGGTCTATAGAAAATTTATATAATTTTCAGTTATTTTATAATAACTGTAGGGGAAATATTGGAATTATTTATATGAGAAATTTCACTTAAATGATATGATAATTATTTAAAGACCTAATTTCTTAGGGATTTAATCATGATGATTTAAACATTAAAACACTTGTTTATCTGAGAAATCCTCTTAGTAAATAGGTTTACTAAGACACTAAAAGGAAGTAGATATAGTATAACTATAGTACAGCTACAATAATTGTATGGGACTTACTGTCCTTTCTATACAAATATATATTTAATCTATATCTTTCACATTATAATTATGCAATATATTGCCTCTACTACTACAACATACACAAATAGGACTTATTGTCCTTCCTATATACCTATATATAATAATTGACCTGGCACTTTAATGTGTAATTTATCAGTACTGATGACAACAACCAATTAGGACTTATAGTCCTCTTTATAAAGCTACATAATTATTTAATCTGATTATTTCACAATGTGATTAATCAAACCTCTACAAATATTACAAAAGATCTCTATTACTCTCAACACAATAATAGCTTGTTGGACTTAGTGTCCTCAAACTTATAGAAAACCCAACTGGTTATTTCACGAGACGTTGTTAACTTGTGATTAATCAGTGTCTTTTAAAGGACTTATAGTTCCTTTAGATATATCTCTCTGAATAAATAATTGGTTAATTCACAATGTGGTTAATCAACAATAATATTATATATAATTGACTGGACTTATAGTTCATTCAATAGCACTCATTACTTTTAGTAGCTCTCGACCTATGGGTTGGACTACTCGTTCTTAGGCTCCGGCCTAATCAACAGATTTAACTTGGACCTTGAGTATTCTTGGTATTAAGTAAATAATATTAAATTGACAATGCTATGTTATGATATAGCAATTATCAACATTATATGGCTTGGCCAATTCCAGGGTGTGGAAGGTATCCCCTATCACACAAATCTTCATCTCTATCGGACTGTCTTCACAGGTGATCTCTAATGTCACATTATAGGGCCGAAGGGTTATGTCCCATCAAAGTAGGTTCTGGTGTCTGGGTGATCTCGCTTCTTGGTCTGATCTCTTGTGGAGCCGAAGGGAAACCCCCATTGAGTAAGCTCGTAACAGGGTGACGCTGGGAAACAGTTTCGTACTGTTAGTGGGTGATCTCTATGTCGCCATATAGGACTGAAAGGGTCATCGCCCATGAGTAAGCTCTCGTGTCGGAGTGATCCTGGGATTTCAGTTCCGATCTTTTTGCCTCTGGCAAACACCAATTTATACTGGAAGCATCGTGGGGCTGGTGGAGCCACTGTAATGTTGAAGTAAATGTACTTATGTTTGGTTTGGAACTGAGAATACTCATTCCCTTATTACCATCAGAGTGCATTAATAAATAGTAATACCCTTCCCTACCTTTTAGGAGGAAGAGTTATAGATAGTTGGAAAGTCTTCCAC